GAGGCGGACAGGTAAGGAGTGTGACCAGCCCATCTGAAGGTGACCCTGCAGAGCCCACCATAGAGAGTCCATGGTGGGCTCTGCAGGGTCACCCTCAGGTGAGCTATGTGGGCTCTTCAAAGGGTGTAACTAGAAATCACAGGGCCCCATACAAAATTTTGCTATGGGGCCCTGTGATTTCTAGTTACGCCCCTGGTATCAATTATTTGTATATATATATATATATCTCAAAACTGTGATCTGACAAGTATAATTAGTAGACGATCGGAAACACCTAATGACAGAGCAATGCCCCTGCTTGTGGCTTTGTGTCCGTATATTTGCCGTCTTCCTTCAGAAGGCTTTCCCTCCACTTCCTGGAGCCATGGGCGCTTTAATCAGGGCATTGTAAACAGACATCGTATGCAAAACATATGACGGTCCTGCTGAAGACAAATCTGGACAGTCTCGGTGGCATTCGTAACAATGATCCTGTTTACTTTAGAGTTGCGGGACACAGACTAGCCTATTACACAACAAAATATCCCTAGACTCCGATGGAGATCATGGAGCCTGATGACGCCTCCTCATGCCGCATTGTTTCTCATTGTCTTTGGCCATCTCTTTCCTGCCTGGCGACGGAGGGGTCCCTGCCCATCTAACCATCTGTGCTTATTAATGAGCTGTGACAAAACATCACAACTTTGAGCGGTGCCACACTAATCCGGCCATCAGTTCCAATCTAAAGGTTACACAGTTACAACGTCAACTACATGGCTGGAGCAACTTCTCAAAGACTTTGTCAGTTTCCCTCCAGAGGAAGGAAAAAAACAAAACAAACTTCTGAACAAGTGTGATCAATTGAATGTGGGGGGGCATTCCTTCTTGGCTCAACAAGGGCAGTTTGCTCTCTTACCAGAATATTACTTAAAGTGTATGTCATGCTGAAACCTTCTGGACAGAGTGAGGAAGAACACCTGTTGGGTTTTTACTGGCATCTGAGGCTCCGTTGGAGAGATCTCTCCTCACTTCCTGTCCTGCTGACAATGGTTTCACCAGAGTCATTCCCTTCTAAGTCTGTAACACAGCCTGCAACTGTCTCTTAGCCTCTTGAGAGTTATGTATAAATGATGTAACACTTTGAATGTCTTCTAATGAATTCCTTTTATGCCCAAAAATGTGTTTTCCTTTTGCTGTTTTAGGATTTTTTGTGTTAAGA